CATTACAAATTTTCGCAGCATGAGAAATGAAATTTGTAATGCGGATCTACCTTAAGAAAAAGATTTGTAATGCATGACTGCCATTACTACGAGTACGATACTTTTGCAGTTCATACAGCTCGCTCGACGAAGTTCGCATCGCCCACAGCAACACCTTCCAGCGCGGGCCGGCGTTTGAGGGGGTAAAACTAACGGACGACTTGCGGTCGCACTGGAACCCGCGGCACCATGTGCTAGATAACGAGTGGAACCGGGCGACGCAGATGCTCTACGAAATGGTCCATGTGGAGCGGATATGCATTACAAAAGTATCGCACGACTCGTTGAAATTGCACTCATGCATGACAAATCTCTTTCCAAACCTGAAACAGCATTACAACTTCCACTTTTGTTCTTGCCAAAATTTGTGATGCTATTTTTACTAGTACAACGCGCGACACTTTTGCAATGCATAGCGGAGTAGCGACCGTATGAAAGCCAAGGTCCAGAAGAAGGCCGACGCGATTCCCGTCTTCTCCTGGATCCAGGGGCAACTAGGTGGGGGCGGCGCGGCGGGCGGCGGCGGGGCGGCCGCCGGCGGGACGAAGTTAGACCGGCTGCAACCGCGGCCGCCTCCGATAAAAGCGAGGTCTGGGAGTGGCGGAGACGGAGACTTGTTGAAGGGTTTGGGCGGAGGGGATCTAATGGATTAAAGAACCGGTCAAAGGGGATTTTCAAACCGGCGAGCCGTGTTGAATGATGTGGCGTCTGTTTTAAATCCCAGTAGGTACTGCCGGTGCAAGAACCCGGACAGTACTAGTCGTGTAATTCGCGAATCAATCATCTACTAATAATCTACTATACTTTAACTTTTACTTTCCTAGTAGCAGGTGATGATCGTGACAGGGTTTCAGTTGTTAAGGAGTTTCAGGCCGTCTTCGGGGAGGAGGAGTAATTGATATTTAGTGTGCTGACTACGTTTACGACCACTCCAGTAGAACAACCGCCCTCGTAGCGTCACGCCATCCATCATCCTTCGGAAGTTCTTTTCGCTCTTGTTTCAATAATGCAGAAAATTAAAGGGCCTCGTCAAGAAGGTGCCAATCTTGTTGTTTGAATGCATCGCTGATAATGTCCTGTATAATACACCAACTCGTCTCAAGCGGCGCAAGCGTGGTCACCAGGAATTCTATTAGCCGGCGCGCGGCGCTGCTTGAAAGACGTTTATTTTCGACGCACAAAGAGACGTGCGCCTAGTTGAGCTTCTGTTTACTTGTTTGCTTATTTACCCCTACTAAAACCAAATTTCAAAACCGAATCAACACAGTAATGCAATGCTGAGAAAGTGAAAATGAATGCGAAGTATTACAGTTACACTGCTCCTTCAAATATCTTCTATGCACTTTGCAGTGTACCTAAACTTTATCAATGACCGATGACACCAGCACGTCCGGAGTAGAACAAAAACGCAACAAATGACGAAACCCAGAGTACAGAATTTCAGAATAGCCGTAGTACCTTTCTCGACCGCTACCTTTTGATGATGAATCGAAAACGTTTTAGCTTAAGGAGATAAGCTTTGCTTTGACTTGATTGATATTGCTAGACACAACGAAAACCATTATTATTTCGTTTGACTTGAGCTTCCTAGTAGAATTTGCAATAGGAGGGTCTTCAGACCGAAGAAAGACTCTGGGTTGCGCTGCTGCGGCGCCTCCACGCGTTGTACTATTTCATCTTGCGTGGTGGACTCGGCACCTGAAGCGCCTCTGCAACTACCTTGTTGATGAACTCGATTTGCTAAATATTTCTCCAAAGTTGGCCGCCCATGACTATGAGGATCGATCGATGATCTTCAGCGCCACCAGATTTTTGCATTTGTATAAAAGACCACGATGTCCTTGTTGCGGTAAGGAAATCGAAAGAAGTTTCAGATCGATTATTCTCCGGCTTGTGGCGCTGGTGCTCGAGGACGACTGCGATATCCAAGAGAATTATGCCATCGCCATTCCCATAATTCGAAAGGAACAAAAAGCTCCACCTGTTCTTCCATCACTCAGTAAAGAGCCCACAACATCATTCTCATCGCCAGGTGAGGTCCTCGTCGGTGGAACTACATCTTGGTGAGTAGAAGTATCAAAATCACGCCTAGAAAAATTCGAAAATTTAAATTGATACAACTCTCCACAGAAAATAAAGATCCTCATGAACACGATGATGATTGAATGAGTAGGAAGCAGAAGCTGCAACACAGAAAGAAAATCCATTGGTGCTTTCGATGGTTGAAATGTTGACCGAAAAAAAGAGAAAAATCGAGATCCGTGAGGACCCTGTTTGTGTTTGTAAAGGCAGAAAAATCTTCGATCCGGTGGCTTCGACGACGTGTTCCAAATCCAATCCGTGTGGCGAAATAAGTAGTCTTGCATGGAAGAAGGCTCATAAAATTTCTTGCGAATTGATGAAATTTATCGATGTCACCTTGATTTTTTTCCTCCAGGCCGAGCTTCTGCTCAACCAGATTTATCAGTTTGCATAGAGAAATCGTTTGCGTTCTCTCCTGCAAGTTTACCGTGAGCAAATCTATTCTTCATTTTGTCCTCTTCTTGCTACTTACCTCCAAACATCAAAACCGCAAAGCCATGTCGCCCCGCTCCGGAATTGCCGCTGGCCGCGAACGTGGTCACGTCACCACGGTGCGCACCCTGAAGCAAAAGCCCTCCAATATGAAGGGCAAGCTCTCCTCCAAAGTCGCCCTCGTTCGCGAGGTGGTCCGCGAGACCGCGGGCTTCGCGCCCTATGAACGTCGTGTCATGGAGCTCATCAAGATGGGGTCCGCCTCCTCCCTATGCATTGCAAATATGTCTAGTAGGTCTGGAAGGATGCAACTTGTGATGCTGCATTTGGATTCTACAAAAATCTGTATTGCATAAACAGAAAAAGAGGTCCAGTTTTTGCCACGGTGCGAGGGCATTTCTCATGCGGTACAGGCATCAGGAAGTCCTCGAAAAATATGTGATGCTAGGGTAGGCATCACAGACATCAGGAGATATGCAAAATGTGCATGACAAACCTTGCATCCCTCCAGACCCAGACATATTTGCATTTAATACTCCCTGAAGCGTGCGTTGAAGTACGCCAAGAAGCGGTTGTATGACTGTGCACAACTCCCCCTCCCCCTCATTTGTAATGCAAAATACCAAACTCACACGTAAGCATTGTTAGCATGACAAATTTTGGAACCTCAAATAGTACTACAATCCGCATGTAGATTTGTCATGCGAAGGCCCCTTTTCTGCTGTTGCTTGTGTTGCTGTTCATGCAATACAAATGTGGGGGAGGGGGAGTTGTGCACTTTTATAGGTTGGGCACGCACAAGCGCGGTAAGAAGAAGCGTGAGGAGATGACCGAGGCGATTGTATCCTGTGCAAAAGTATCGTACTCGTATAAATGCTGGTCTTGCATTACAAATTTCTTTGTCAAGCTCAAGGCAAATCAGCATTACAAATTTTATTTCTCATGCTGAGAAAATTTGTAATGCATTTATACGTGTGCGATACTTTTGCAGTTCATAGATTGCCGCCCAGCGCAAGAAGCACTAAATTTCTTCAGTGCTAAATGTAAATTGGGTCTTTTCTTGGTCAATCTGGTATGAGAAGAAGAGGGGGAGGACAGATTGATGCTTTAAACTTCGGGAGTCGAAATGGAACATGAACATCAACGCGGGAAAGTAGATATATAAGAAGATTTTTCGAGATTTTTCCGTTTGTATGCCTCCCTGCTCGTCGTCACGGAATAAATTGGGACGTCGTTCACTGCTAATTACAGACGGAACAGTAGAGGGTCATTGTCATTTTTATGTCAGCATGACCATATCTAACACGGAATAAAAGAAGAACGGAAACACTACTACAACCACAGAACATCAACATAAGACACGCCACAGCATTAACCTCGAAAATGAACACAATGCACACAACTAGTAGTTTTTGTCGTACTTTTTTACAAAGTATGGTACTAAAAAACAAGACCTTCATCGTATGTGCTGCATGTGGTGGTCAACGGATACGGAAAGATGAATCAAAAATGTCGCATGAAGATTTTTCTGCTTCGGCAGAAAATAAGATAAGGCCATTGTACTGTTAAAGAAGTGAACATCAAGAGCCAGTATTCTATTAATGTGAGAATGCAACCAGAGCTGCCAAGTAGTACACGATGTTGAAAAGCAATGTAGTACAAAGTACCACGTCAATTCCAGGGAAATACAGCTACAAAGAATTACTCGATCTGGAGGACGAGCGCCTGCTATTCACCCAATGAATACTTGCTGGTGATCGGCGTTTCATCAAAAACTTTCACAAACAAAATAAAGCACGCACTCAGCAAACACAGCACTAGAGGAAGGAGGTAGGACTATGTATAATACTTACTTTACATCACCTCCACCACCCGAAATGTCCAACCTTGTTGGATGTTTTATATGTGTGAAATACGCGGAAAACTCAAAGGTGAGTCGTGCGAAAAAACTAAATTTCCAGTGTAGTGCAGGACACGGTGCCGTGTTGAAACTTGTCCAGCTCGTGGCAAATTCATTTGGCAGCTTTGTTCGATCACATCGTGTAGTTTGTACTTTGTTGTTGGCCGCAACCGCATGGCGCTCTTCGTTTAAGAGCATAAATCTGTATACCTTTCCCTACTAGAATGTGAATGAAAAGTAGAGAATGACCGCGATCCGACAAGAACGGTCTCAATCTTGTTTCGACACGAAGCAGAAGTTGATGCTGGAGAGAGATCTGCACCAGGAAAGTCTTTTCGTGCTAAATGCCACAGATCCGACGATATTACAGCCAACAAAATCTCTGTCGGATCTCCACGATCATCCCAGTCTGCAAATGTAAAGATAGAAGTGAACTAGTACCCAGACTCGAAATTTCGATCCGACCAAGAAAGCCGTTTATGAACAACCATTTGCACATTCTCGTATCATAGAGCAGGCTGGTATTCACGATATAGGTTTATTGATAGTGACGGGAGACGAGACCTCTGCTTGTTCATCTTTCTTGAGTTTCAGTACTTCTTCCTGTATAATAATTTTCTTTTTCTTTATTTCGTTTGATGTGTTTCCAAATTCATCTGTAGAATAGTATGAGATTCTTCTTGTTTTTTTGTTTGAACCAGCAGAGAGCGGGTCTCTTTGCTCGCGCTGTAGTCGGGGGACCGGGCTGCAAATGGGAGATTGGATGTGATGAAACTGAAAGTGACGAATGGAGAGTTCTTTCCTCGGGCTTTGGGGGCAGCGCCGGTGTTGCTGCGAATAACGGGTCCGACATCATCCGGGAACCCGAACAAGATTTGTAATGCATGTTTGCAATTACTACGACTGCGATACTTTTGCACAGGATAGAAAAACCACTTGAAACTGTTCATCGAGCGACTTCACGTCCGCTACGGATCGACGAAGCAGGCGTTTATGCAGATTATCTTGCAGTTATCTAGAGCAAAGTTCTTCTTACCGTAGTACACACAGATGCAGATGATCATGATGACCTTATTGCATGACGATGACAGATCTTCTGTTTCCCCAGCCCATTTACCATGACAACTTTCAGCTCTAATGCTGGTGCCGGAATTTGTCATGCACTTTGTGCATCTGCTTCGTCGTGCAACTACCTACGCTAAATTTGTATTGCATACCAGTATTCCGGCGTGAACCTGGATTTCGAGCAGTGGCGGGAGCTCTGCCGGGAGATCCGGTACGACGGCAATCCACGACGGCATATTCTGAGTAAAAACATCCCCACCCCAAAGTTGTCATGCAAATCTGCAGGGCAAAAATGTTTCTCATGTGAAGCCCCATGCGAAGCATTTCCCCGTCGTGTTTTGGATTTTGTGATGCTCAAATCAGCATGACCTGCTAGACCTGTTATGCTGCTGGAGCTAACTAAACAGGATCACACTACGGGGCCAAATTTGTCATGCGAAACAACCAAAGCTGGTTGATTTGTCTAGCACATTTTCCATCTTGACATTGGTGTGGGGATGTTTTTACATAGGATACGGCTGTTCACGTACTTGGACCGGGAAATTTCCGGCTATGTGCATTTATCCGCGATCGACCAGTATCAAATGTAAAAATGTTTGGGTCTGGAAGAATGCCAGACTTGTCATGCAGGGTTTCCATGACCCATGGGGTCTGGTATGTAGGACATAGCATGACAGATTCTGTGCGAGTTCTATCATGCCTACCCCGCATGAGAAACTGCCTCCCGATTAGGTCAAAAGTGGACGGCTTTTGGTAATGATGCAACACAGATTTTTACATGATTCAGATTTAGCATGACAAGTTGCTTTGTTCCAGACCCAGACACTTTTGCATCTGATAACCAGGTGGCGGTGTTCCGGGCGTTGGAAATGCTTTCCAAAACC